CATTAAAAGAGTTAACAGTTGCAGTTAGATGTGTATACATGCTAAAGCAAAAAACAAAAGCCCAGTGGATAATTAAAACAAAGAGACCAGGGACCAAATTCTGCCCTCAATTACACTTGAGTAACCTGATTATTTTTATCTCTGTTAAATCTGTGGACTTATATTCAGGTATAAAAACTGCTAAAAGCATTCATTAAGTCCATTTCTAAACTAGATTTCTAATGATGCATTCATCAGTTTAGAAAGAGGGAGCATTAATTTCTTTTTTTTTTCCCTAATGGAAGATGTTTATGCAATTACTCAGCCACAAAGATGGTTTTTGCCTATATTGGACTTTCAGAAAAATTAACCTTTTTCAGAGATGTAGCAAATGTTTACAGCTGTCGTGGCAACGTTATGGGTTTCCTTAATATATTGTTGCCTTTTTACTATACATGTGATTAGGATCCCTACCGACCAGTTTTGGCAACATGTTTTTTATGTTATAAACATAAAGTTAGGCAAAGTAGTAGGAGCTATTAGTAGGGTTGAAGCATTGTAGGTGTGATGGTACAGGAAATATGTGAGAAGACTGGAAGAAGGGTGCTTTGTCCCCAAAAGCTTGTAACACTTTTCCCAATATAAAGTTGATCCAAATAAAGATATCACCAAAAAAGTGCTTCTAACAAGTACAAGAGATTTTTCTCCTCTATCTCTTTCCCATACATTTCTGATGCTAGAAATATTACTATACTAGAAATCTGGTATAGAAATGCATTTAATTACTTCCCATATGGAGTGTTTGCCAAAACATAACCCGAGAAGACATGTGCTTTATGTGCTTTGTGGCTTCAGCTATGAAAATGTACTATTTTTTATAAGAGGATAATGGCAGGTGGGATATTGTTCCTCAAGTAAGAGCTGACAAAAGGCTAGACAAAGGAATCCCATTCTATAATTTAGAGCTAGCTGGTGTATTTTTTTTTCAACAAGGCAAACAAATAAATCAAACAATCCTTAAAACCCTAATTTAAAGCATTTCTCTTCTACAGATGGTAGTTTCTAAAACTGTGGTTGTTACATGACTAAGCAGTTCATCATTTAGATGCAAGGCCTGCAGTGCATGTTTGTTCTTGCCATACAACCAACTCCCTTCAGGCAGGGAGCATACCAATCTCTCTCACTCTGCCTTTCACACAAAGCCAGAGTGTTTTCATTTATAACACAATTCAGAATAAAAACTTAATAGTGCATATGCATGGGAAAAGCAGGCTGCACAAGCCCCATCCACACCCTGTGTCAAAGCTCCAGAGGCCTCCGAGCCGTTGGAGATATCGCCCAGTCCAATATAGAACGTGAAATCTACCACAAGATCCTCTTGAAGCAAAGTCAGGCTCCTAGGAAACGTAGTGCTAGCAATAGTGGTGGTAGAAAAGAGCAGACAGTGCAGACCCACCTATTTCCAGAACTGTTGCTGGTAGTTCATGACCTCAGGGGAAGGCAGTTTTGAAAAGATCTTGGCTTTCAAGAGTGAGAACCACAGGGTTTTCTTTATATATGATATTTATTCCTGGAAAAAAAAAAACAATAAAACTGAAAATGGAACAGGGGCTTAAACTGGAGGAAAATAGGCAACAGCTGGGGAAAGGAAGGAATTTCCTTTGTCTCCTTTCAGCAATCAGCTGAAAGGAGACAAAAAAAGTTTTGGCCTCCATCCTGTCGTCTAACTGTACTTGGCTCAGCTTTAGCACATGAGTGAGAGGGGAAGGGAAATGGCTGAATGGGTGAGTGCAAAGGGGCTTGGAGTTGGACAGCCGTGCAAATTCATGTGATTTCAGGGCCCAAAAGGCATTTATGATGGCTAGAGTTAAATGTTGTGGCCACATGAGACAGTTGGCATACCCAGCTTCACACTACAGAGACTACATCTGTAGTACAAATGTAGTGTGAGAGACAGTGGCATGCTCAAACCACCACTTTGCTTCCCTCCAACCTGGAAAGCGTTCTGCCATGTTTGTGTGGTGCTGCAGGTAGACTGATCAGCCTTAGTCTCCAGGCTGAGCTACATCTGAGTCAGGAGATAGCATACAAGCAGCAGTATGGTACACTTCTCTGTTGAAGTCCAGATACACCCTTAGATTTCGTTGTGTTAGGGAGATGCCATAGCTGCCTGGCTAGAGCAGTTTTATGGTTACTGGGTGCATCTATACATGCAGTTAGGGTGATATGGAACTCTGGCACAAACTACACCAGAGTTTAAGCTGCTCCTGGGCTTAGCATTTACACATACACCCAGGATTGCAGCATGTTGAGTTGGGGCAGAGCAGTCCGAGGCTGACAGGAGCCCCAGGGCAGCCCTGGGCTCTGGGTAGTGATGGAGGGCAGTGGAGGGGCTGCTGGGGCATGAGGGTGCTACAGTGCTCCCACACTGTAACACCTTTATGCCTCAGGCAGCCCCTGTCACAGTCTACACATATTTGAGTGCATATAATTACTCCACTGTAATTTAGAATTAATGAATTTACTTTGCCATAATATGGGCACGTGTAGACTCGGATGCTTTACAACATAGCTAATTAGCCAACTGCAGTAAAGTGCATGTGTAGATGCACCCACTGTGTAGCAGCAAAAAGGGGGCTGAAAGGACAGCCAACAGCTGGTCTTACTATCCATACACAGGTTTTGCATCTTGTATATATGTTGCTGAATGATAAGATGCATGCGTGAGAAAGTGGAGTATACAGCACATCTTTTATCATGTCCCCATCCCCTTTTCCCTCCTTCCATGTGCTGCCTCACTTGTCTAATCATGTCTGCTTTGGTAGTAAGATATAAACCCTAAGTCAAAAAGCCCTCTGGTACCTGTAGCAGGTAATAAGGGCTCTGGTGGCATTGATTCTGATTGAAGAGTTTGGTTGCTACTATCATAACAATGATTTTACTAATTTTTCTGTATGAATTTTCTTAAGTTATTTGCATTTAGGTAATACTTTTACTGAAGAATTTGCACCATATTTTAGTTATCTTAAATATCTTAATATCTTAGTTATCTTCATGGTTGTTTGGGTTATGATAATTTTACAGCATCCATACTGTATGTAGGTAAGTTAGGAGTTAGCTTTTATAATGTATCCTACATATGGTGATGCAGAAAAAGATGATGTCTTGATCAAAAATGGATAAAGTCCTGGTCAAAACTGAAATTGGGCATTTACATTCTACAGCACTTACATGTGAAGTTGGGTCAAGGTACAAGGGTCAGGTAGGTTCATTATATCACAAGGAGGGGACATGTTGATCAAGGGAAGTTAAGATGTTTCAATGAGTACTAAGTAGCCGTTGATCTAAATTTGAAGATGAAAATTCTAAATATAATATTTTAATTAGCTTACAGTTACACTGAGCCTTCACACATCACAGTAAAACAAAAAGCAAAACAAAAAAAAATGGAAAAATGAAATTCTGAAACATTTTTTCAAAATCAAAAACTCATTCCCAAGTCTGAAAACAAATGACAGTAAAAGCTTTGTTATCCGGCATGTGTAGGGTAAGGTGGGTGCCGTTTATCTAAAAATTCCGGTTATCTGAGAGTTATATGGAAGACAGTGCCATATGTGTACTGCAAATACTTGATGTGCATGTGCATGCCAGATATACTCCGCAAAGATTCCTGTTGCTAAAGTGAGGATTTGTATTGGGGGATATTGGAAATTCTGGTTAATAGAGTATTCCAGTTAGTAAAATGCCAGTTAACATAGCTTTTACTGTACAAAACTTCCTGCAAAACAAATTCTGAGTCCTCTCCAGATCTGTTAGAGACACATAGCCACAGCCAAAAATATGATGTAACTGGATCTTACTGGGACAAATACTAAGCCCTCAGCCCTTAAGCATTCAAATCACTCTTAACTTTGGTGAACCTAAGGCATGCAGAATTTGGCTGCAGATTCATACAGTACTGGTTTCTGAATTGGTGTTCTATAATCAATCTTCTATCAAGTATTGGTTATCACCATGCTAGGAGACCAGAGAGTAAACAATGAGCAAAAGGGAAAGTTCTGTCTAGGAGGTGTTCTCTGCATGCAGATCTTGGGGTTGTGATCTGTCCGTTACTGTTTGTATCTGAGGTTTGGTATTGCTGAATGTTGTCAAATATTTACATACATATTTCAGGCCTGTAATTCTCATCTAGATAGTTTTTTGAGAACAGAAAACAGAAAATTAAGTTACCTTCTAAGAAGGGCTGCCTCCTCTTTGGTATCCATGCTCAATACACATTGGTACTACAATACACAAATACTTCAGAGCCATGACTGCATCAGGGTGAAGTTACACATTACGCTTAGAGTCTTAGACCATACTAAGGGCACATAAAATGTGACGGTATGCAGGTTGAACCTTGTTAACTTGTTAAAATGGGCAATTTTCAGTCCTCCAAAATCCCAGGATACACTGCTCCCAGCCCCTTCCTCCCACCCTTCCCTTTCCCTGAGCAAGAATAGAGCCCAGGTGTCCTGGCTCCTAGACAGGCCCCTCCCTGCCAGTCCTCTACTAGGAAGTCAGAGCTGTGCAGGCAAGAAACAGTATTAACCCTTAATGTTCAACTGCTCACAGCATTTTCTAACTTTAACTTTGCTTAACATTCCACGGATTTAGTATGGTCTAAGTTTAACATGTAACTTCACCTTCAGCTGTTGAAGTAATACTTGTTATAAAGGCTGTTCTTCCAATGACTTAAAGAGCTCATTTTTCTGTCTCGATACATAAACTGCATAGAAGCCTTGGATGAAGTTTCAGTCACATTCAGTACAAGAGAAAAAAAAATTACATTCTTTTAAACACTGTAAATTTTATGTTGCTTTTCCAGGTAAGAGTATTATAAACCAGCAAGAGGTTTCTCAAGTCCTTTCCTTGAAAGTGCCCTCTTGTTTCTTATTTGTTTGAATTCAAGTCACTTGTCAGGTCAACAAAAATACTGCAAGGGGATTTGTCTTGCTAACATGTTTTCCTTTGGATTTCAGCCTGGGGAAGAGGTGCTATTGGAACAATCCTTACTGGCTATATCATTTTCATCATCTGCTTTGCCCTTGCCATCATCGCATTTGCTGTCTGTTTACTTCGGTTCAACTTTATCCGAGGAATTGGAGGCTTGCTCTTTGTTTCTGGTAAGAATCTTCAGGAAGCAAGTGTTGCCTTTTAAAATGGTACCTGTAATAAAATCAGAACCTCGCTTGCCTTGGCCCTGGCCCTTGCTTGATTCTTCTACAAGGAATCCATACCCATTTCTACTTTGTACTTGGAAACCTCGATTAAAAACATAGAAAGTCCACTGAATACAGGCTCCAGCCAAAAACCTCACCTCTCTAAAGCAAAGTTGTGTTATAGATAATAAAAAGGAAGAAAAGATATCAGTTTAGTCACTCATTTCTTGTCTTTTTCTTTTTCAGCTCTGTTCCTGATTATGGGCCTAGTCATTTACCCGGTGATGTACACAAACACCCTTCCGGTCACAGGCGTTGGTGCGTTTGGCTGGTCCTATGGCTTTATGTGGACCGTTGCTATAATGGCAATAGGTCTGGCATTCTTCTTCTGCTGCCTCCCCAACTATGAAGACCAGATCCTGGGAAATGTCAAACCTGATTATTGCTGTGGTACCCCGTGAACACTAGGAACAGCAAGAGAAGCATCTGACATTTGGATTCCAAAGATACTTACAGACTACCCTAGTTTTCAAAAGTATTATCATCAGGTATTAGTAGAAAGGTTTGGCAAGTTTGGTTTGTTGTCACATGAAAGTAGAGAAAGAAATGCGAGTTTTAGAATGGAAGATTTAAATCATTCTGTATTTTCACATCTGATTTTTTTAGGACTTATCAGTCTGCATACTCAATATGCTTATAGTTAATTACTCCATTAATTCTCACATCAAGAAGTGTGCATAATTTTTGTGAGGTGTTTCAGGTGTTTATGCTTGCATTTTACTATAAACAAGTAAATCATTTGGTGGGCCAAATAATATCTTCCTGAGGCAAAGCAGTTCACAACCCTTCCCCCCCACGGCAACTATATTTAGCTTCTATTTTTGTTTACTTTAACCTGAAAATCTGAAATGTTTGCTTTTTGCCAAACTTGTGTAACCACTGCCTGCCAACATTGTCAAAAATTCAGCCCCCAGTTCCTAATTCAGTTTTCTTTCTCATTAAAAGAAAAAAAGCACTTCAAGGTACAGGGATAAAGTGAAGGTGGGAGGATGGGAGGGAGAGAGAAAGAGAAAAGGGCCACTGGAGTCTGGATTTTAACAGGATATTTAATTCTCTT